TTCGGTAATTTCTCCCTCTGCCTCGAGTCAGGTTACTAGTTTAATAGCGTAAGCTTCTGTTATTGTACGTCACACGCATCACACACATGACCAGCGTCGGCCAATAGTGAGCCTACGTGTGACGTAGCTTTACGCAATCACACTACGTTGACTACAGGCCCATGGAGAAGGAAGAGAATCGTTGAAATAAAGTCGTTATTTTTGTTTTTTGAGCACAAAAAGTGTTCTCGTCGTTTGATAAAGTTAAAATTGAGCCACTGTAGTCACTTGGAGTATTTTAACGATGTCTTTAATGACTTTTCGATGTCATTCCCTCAAGAAGCCTATGAACTAGTATGCAGGAGTGATCTTAATATCTTAAATATCTTAATTTGTGTTCCGAAGATGAACGAAGGTCTTACGGGGTTGGAACAACATGAGGGTGAGTAAATACTGACAGAATTTTCATTTTTGGGTGAACTAACCCTTTAAAGCTTTACTGTATAGCTTTTTGTACCTTTTTACTTGTACTTTTTATGCCTATTATTGATGAAACTGATATTCAACAAAAAAGAGATAGTTTTGTCATTTTTTATTTTATTACATTTTTTTTATTTTATTTTGTTTTTATTTTATTACATCATCTGTAATATTGTTTATTGCAACATTTGTACCAATGCAATATGCAATACATTACATATTGCCTTGAATATGTTTAATATTTTTACATTTAAACGAAAAGAGGCAGGGTTGTGTTTTATATTTTTTGTCATAAATATATACTGTACACAGCCTACAGTACATGCAGTGAATATAATCAATGGCCTATGCGTTGCCTGAACCACATTTGTGTGCTTATAATGTTTAAAATGTATTTAAATTAAATTGAAAAGAAGTAGAGTGGTGTTTTATAACATATTTCATTTTATTGTTGCCTAAAATGTACATACAGAGATAACCGGAGTAGTGAGTGAGCTGAGTGGCGCATTCAAGAACGCGCTGTTCCATTGGTCCTCGGGAGTCATTCTCCTGAGTCGGACTTAGCATTGGCTACTTGGCATACAAACGCCTAATGCCAGTGCTTATTTCTTGTGACAAACATGACGAGAAGCAAGAAAAAGATCTGCTGTATGTCATCCATTGTTGTTTACTATGTTACTTTTTTCGCGCAAAAATGACGTCAATCGCTTCTTTCCGCTAAACACCATGCCTATCACTGTTAGCGGTGGAAAACGCAAGCCGGATCATGGTTTACCGACCCGAACCGTTCTTTACCGTACTGTACCGCTCAGTGGAAACGAAATTCTCTGCTACAAATGAACACTTAAAATTTTATTCTAGGACCTACCATATTTGTACTGTTTCACTGAAAGTGACAGAAGTGCAAATGTCACAACTTACCCCATATGAGGGGTTAATTGTTACAGACAGAGGGGTTATTTGTAACACTTGTGTGTAACACACATATTCCAGTACTATTTTATTTGTATAGTTTGATATTGTTTGTGCATCTGTATAGGTAGATATCCATATATCCATCCCTCATCCAATCATCCTTCTATTATGGATCAATATCATGGATGGAGACAGAAAAAGGCTGCACAGTTTTGCAATAAATAATAAATAAAATCATAAAATATTGTAGTTGCAATTGAATTAGATTTGAGTGTGGCAGCTGCATGTAAAATTATTATTATTAATAATAATAACAGTAATAAGTGATCAATGCATAGTACACTAAATTTGAAACATTTTAAATTCGAACATTGTTTGTGAAAGTCCAACAAAGTTAAATGTATACTCAAACCTGAAAAGTTGTGTGGCTCCCTGTTTTCATTTGATTATCATTGTCCACTTGTTTGTAACACTGTGCTACAACTAACCCCGCTGTGTATTACATATTTTAAGCCTAGCTAACAGTTGCTAGGAATTGCTGACATGTTTCAAAACAATGCTATGTTTGAGCCAACAAGACTGTGATTAAAGAAATATAAAGTTAGATTTGGAAGCGTAAACACCCAACCCAGAAACAAAAAAAAAAACCTATGATGAAAAAATGTACTTGCGTGTCAAAACACTCTTTGTCCAGTATCTTCACAAAATGTTATCAAAACTTTCCGCAAATACTGTACGCGGGAGACCGTCTTCTGGCAGCAACCTGCTTGATCCTGACTATGTAAAAGGTCTGTGTTACATTTAACCCCGCGTTAGGTTGTGCCCCACGCTCCCCTGCTGGTTATGTAATCCAACTTTTGGTCTCATATTCTATAGTCAGATTAGACAATCATAATACCAACTGAATGAATGTTAAAGAACACAAAAGTGTATCTTTATAGTAATATGATACATCCAATTGCAAACACGGTTATAATGCTAACGAGTTTAAAAAGTAAATGCTGCAGTGTTGCTTTCAAAATATCAGAGAATTAAAGGGTTTATCAATGAATAGTTGCTTCATCGATTTGTTGGACCACAGGTTTCGAAGTGTTGCAGAAACCTCAGAGCCCGATTGCATGATACAGTACATGAATGGGCTCAGCAATATTTCATAATACACACAACGGAACCATAAGGTGGAAGTATGTTATCATTTAGGCATGAATTTCACAATTCGCTGTCTTTTAATAATCTTACATACGATTAAACTCTGCTTGCGCTACAGTTTTTGAATCCCTCTCCCTCACTTTTTTGAATGATACAGTTCCTTTTCACACTTCCCCCCTGTGGTCCTAACATCCTCTTTTCTGATAGAAACTGTTAACTTACAGGACACAGAGCCAGTAATGAGACAACCACCAAACAGGAAGACCAATCCACAAGTCAGACCCTCTCCGGCTTAAGGGAGCTGGCTTCTTTCTGATTTCACACATCCTTCATTACCTACAGTGGCCCATTCATGAAATCGGATGTGACCGAGATCCAAAATGGCTGCCCTTAGTGCCACAAGACACGGTTTGCACAGTCATCGAGAACTCGCTTTTGACATGAATATGCTTTTGACAGACGAGTAACTGTTGCTGCCTTCTTCCTTACCACAGTGTGAAGAAATACTCTGACTTTTACCCACGATTCAAACCACTAATATGACATCCAAGCGTTAAAGAAATCGCTAATATTGAAGGGACAGCTTGCCTTAAATGAGAGGTCTCAAACACAAAATGTCTGTGCACTACTAACAAATATACAAACAAATACAAATTTTGGTGCAGTAAGTTATTGATAGAAGAACAAACCTTTCGAGTAGAGTGTCTCATCTCTTCTCCATTCCTTGCATTCTGTTCTGTGTGATGCCTCAAGATTGTGTTCCTTGAGAACTGTAATTTTCTCCATGTGGATCAGGCAGGTATCTGTAACAAGAGACCAGAAATGTATGGGTTTAATATAATGCTGCGTTCCAGGCAACCTGTAACCTGTGTTTTTCCAACCTTATACCCGTGAAAGTGCACTGGAACGGCAGTCAAACCCGTGATTTCCCACCCGTGAACTCGTACTAGATCGATGTACTCACAATCACGAGCTCTTAACATCACATAGCCCGAGAAACCATACAAAACAACAATGGCAGCCCCTACGGATGCAGTGTTCCTGCAGGTAGTACACGGTGAGAATACACTAGGACAATATCACGTTAACTAGTTTTCAGTCCGTTGAGTGCAAGGATAAATAACCTAATACATTTCCAAATATACAAATGAAGTAAAATAAAAGGTATAACAGTCAGCTTATCTTGCCTTATGCGCCGTTTTTCCTCCTCCGTTCCCTCAAATAAACAAGGATTAATGCTGCGTTCCAGGCAGGTTTTTGAGCACGTAAAGACTTCAAACCACGACTTACGACGTATAAGATAAGCTGTTATACCTTTTATTTTACTTTGTTTATTTTATTTTAATTTGTATATTTGGAAATATATTTGGTATTAATTTATCCTTGCACTCAATGGACTGAAAACTAGTTAACGTTATATTGTCCTAAAGTGTATTCTCACCGAGTACCGCCTGCAGAAACACTGCATCCGTAGGGGCTGTCATTGTAGTTTTGTATATGTTCGCGGGCTATGTGACGTCAGAACTCGTAACTGGGAGTACATCGGTCTAGTACGAGTTCACGGGTGGGAAGTCACGGGTTTGACTGCCGTTCCAGTGCACTTTCACGGGTATAAGGTTGGAAAAACACGAGTTACGCGGCATAAGTTAAGCACCTTTGGCGACAGATTTTATTACAAATGCGCATAAGCCCCGCAAGGTCCGCCATGCTGGTTTGTTTACATCTAAGTTAGCCACCAATTCCTTGCGCTCAGGTATTTTGGCGTGACTGCCCTGGAATGCTACAAAGTCATGAGTCATGGTCTGAAGTCATGATTTACATGCTCAAAAACCTGCCTGGTCTGGTTAAAAAGTGTAAAAAATAAAGTGTAAATAATAATATTAATAATAATAATAATAATATATATATATATATATAATATTTATATATTTAATATTTATATATATATATATATATATAATATAAAAATATATATATATATACAGCTTTTTTTTATTACCGTTTGTTTCGCTACATAAGACCCTTATTCCTCGGCTGGGATCGTGTAGAGCCCGTTGGTTCCTGTTGAAGTCCACTAAATGGAGAAAAATACTGATGTTTTCCTCAAAAATGTCTTTTTGACTGAAGAAAGACATGGACATCTTGGATGACGTGGGAATGAGTAAATTATCAGAACATTTTAACCCTGAAGTGAACACCTTCAACCCTAATGATATACTAATTTTGATTTAATGCTAAAGATCAACCAGTAGTCTACATTCTTCACTTATACTAAACTATCAACATATACTGCCATGTTATTTATTGAGATAAAATAAAAAAAAGGAACATTAACGGAGAAATTTGTTGGCATATTGAGTGGAGTGGCATGAATAAAACGAGTCCTGCATTAAACAAATGCAGTATCAGTTTTAAATTAATAGGGAAAAAAAGAGACCCGAATTGTTAATAGCAATTTCTTGAATGTTTAATGAACTTGCTTCATAATTACACCTTTACTGTAACCAGAACATCTGAGACAGGAGGTGTCTGGGTGGGTCCGTCACAGCTCCTAAAGTTTTTCTTTAAACACAGGCCTCTTCGAGATAAGATTACAGGGCACAAACTGAGCGTGACCACTTATATTTCCTTAACTAAATGACAAACTGGTTGGGAGTAGAAGCTGCAGCATAGATGACAAATTCTCAGGGTCATGGATGAGAGGCATCCCTGACCCATGAAAGGGATGGAGAGGATTTAGCTCTTGTCGCATCTAAATCAATATGGCACACATGAATACACACTGTTAGCAAGCTGGCAGGGCGTATGCATGTGCGCTGACAACTGGTGTGAAAAGGCATGTGAGGTCAGGCAGGGTTGAGCCGAGACTAGTTGAGCCTGGCCACGTTTAGAAAGATCACTCATCTGAGGACGTTCTAGGCTGGTCTTTGAAGTCTTTAAAAAAAAAAAAACTCATACTCGTGGAAGATGGATGTTGGGAAAGATCTGAAGTTCACCCTTTGTTTCCTGAAGGAGGAAGAACACTTGTTATTGGACTCGCAGGGAACAGATCTTCATTAAATACCGTTTTAGACCAAGGCAAGTCGATTGACCGTGCATTGCCATTTAACTTATCACATGGTTTATAAATGCCTTAATTAAATCCCAGATAGTATTATTCATACTGACCTTTAGCAGAGTGAAAAAAAAGTATTTAACACTTTTGTGACCTTATGGAGGACAAAAGTAGTGAGATTAGAGGCCTTAAGGAAGCTGTGAGGTATATTGGCTGTCTGTCGAAAGCCCACACGCACTGTCATTTTGGAAACTTTTCCTGCTTCCCTAGACAGAGATAATGATGTACTACTGTTTACCTGAGCTGTAATTAGTCTGGGAATATCATTGACGGGCTTAAAAAATTAAGCTAAAGAGAGGCAAAGCAGCAAACACACTGACAAACACAAGTATACACAATCAATCATAGGCCAAAAAGTCCCACTCTATGAATCTAAATCTGGGTAGACGTTATATTTAATTTGACACAAAGAAAAATAAGGCTGAAAAGGACAGAAGTAAAGTACATTCAAAATGTACTGACATAAACACCATGTTGTCAATGCAACAGTTTCTCAGGTGACTAAAATCTTACAATGAAATGTTTAAGACTTATTAAGTTTTCATTTCAGTCCCACTAAAGGTGAAAAGTGTCATTTCTGTGCCACGCTCAACATTAAATGGAATTTGAAAACATAATGGTCGGATGCCCAAACAGAGCAATACTTTGATTTTATTCGATTTTTTTTTTTTAATAAAAAACGTTTTGTCAAATTAACAGCCCATTCTCACCCCCAAGGCGTCACTTAACTGACGCCTTGGGAAGCATTTGGACATGCTTCAATATCTGACGCTTTAGGCGCCCTTTAGCGTCAGTTAGATGACGCCCTAGGATCGCGTGTACCCTACCCCCACCCCACACCTAAACCTAACCGCGTCCTCTAACTGACGCTTTCCTTTAGCCTCAGTTAGATGACGCCGTAGGATCGCGTCATATAAGTGCAACGCATTCTCACCCCAAGGCGTCACCTTTGACCATGCTTCAATATTTGACGTTTTAGGCGCCCTTTAGCGTCACTTACATGACGCGATCCTACGGCGTCATCTAACTGACGCTAAAGGAAAGCGTCAGTTAGAGGACGCGGTTAGGTTTAGGTATGGGGTGGGGGTAGGGTACACGCGATCCTAGGGCATCATCTAACTGACGCTAAAGGGCGCCTAAAGCGTCAGATATTGAAGCATGTCCAAATGCTTCCCAAGGCGTCAGTTAGGTGACGCCTTGGGAGTGAGAATGGGCTGATAAGTGACGCTAAAGGGCGCCTAAAACGTCAAATATTGAAGCGTGGTCAAAAGTGACGCCTTGGGGTGAGAATGCGTTGAAATTAAATGTTTTAGACCTACTGAACAGATGTAATCTGTCCCACTATTTTTATTTGCATCAAACTGAAGGTGAAGCACGCTTTAAACAGGTTTACCCACAGAATCTGGTTGGGCCAAGACTGCTGCTATTGGTTTAATAATATTTTGATATATATATATTTTTTTATTTTTTTTTTTTGCTTAATGCAATCTTTTTTTTAAAAAAAACACTCACTTTCAAAAAAGGGTTAACCTAAAATGTATTATTTAAACATAAAAATGACACCTCACCTTTTCGCTGATTGAGGTCCTATACTGCAAAAGGAACAGAGTTTGAATTAGCCAGTCATGATCATCATCTTTGCTGCTAGAGGACCATCTAATCTAACATTTCATATTATGTGAATCAAAAGCTGAACCTCAATGGTAAATTTTCTTTATACCATTTTATGACATTATATCACCATCTCTTCAATGTAAACCACAATTGTGGCATTCCTTACTGGTACAGAGCAAAGCCGTTGAAGTGTTGACATCATTGATTAACTGTTGCAGGATAGCTTCACTGATTAATACAACGAATTACAGGAAGTGGGTCTGCAAGTGTCAGAGCGTTGAGGGGGTATCAGCAGATAGCCGTTGTCATTCTTAGAAGAGTACACCCCGGAGAGGTGGGGTTACAATGTGTAAGGGCATTGTGGTTTGGCTGTCAAGGTTGGCTCCCACAGTCTCTCTCTCTCTCTCTGCTCTTCAGCAGAATTCCCCCAACATGAATTTCAGTGAAACCAGAAGGCCGTTTAACCTCTTTATTGGTCATGTGGGCTCTTTCACCTAACAAAAAAAAAAAAAATGTTTCTGTTAAATGATGTAATCTGCTGTTTGCTATTATTTCATTGTGTCTTTCTTGTGGGATTCAATAGTGTTGAAATAAGACGACTTGTGTAGATGTGTTGAAAATTGAAAATTTACTCAGATGACTTGGCATTCCCTAGTGCATTGTACTTACAGAGCAAAGCGTCAAGCAACAACAATTTCAGCTTTGACCCATTACATGCTGACCTTTCAAAACAGATAATAATTGCTGTAGAAGTACAAGACCCACCACACAACCCCTGACCCCCTTCCCCAATGTCAAAAACGTAGTGTGTTATCTAGTTTATCAAAAGAGCTTTTCTTACCCAATCAGCACTATGCTAAGCTAGTAACTAGTAGCTTTTTGTCAACCAAAAGCTAACTAAGAACATAAAGAAAGGGACATTTGATCATTATTATTTAACTTAGGTAACATAATTTGATATGTAATTTAAAAGACTAATGACCGGTTTGACAGACCAGGATTAAGCTTTCCTTTGCCCCAAACTAAAATGCATGTTTGAGCTGTCTTAACTGTAAGAAACTACAGTATCTCACGAAAGTGAGTAACTCTCACATTTAAGTAAACTTCTTAGTATATATTCTATGTTATATTCTATGTGTATTCACTAAGGATTATTAGGAACACCATACTAATACTGTGTTTGACCCCATTTCGCCTTCAAAACGGCTTTAATTTTATGTGGCATTGATTCAACAAGATGCTGAAAGCATTCTTTAGAAATGTCGGCCCATATTGATAGGATAGCATCTTGCAGTTGTTGGAGATTTGTGGGATGCACATCCAGGGCACGAAGCTCCCGTTCCAACACATCCCAAAGATGCTCTATTGGGTTGAGATCTGGTGACTGTGGGGCCATTTTAGTACAGTGAACTCATTATCATGTTCAAGAAACCAATTTGAAATAGTCCGAGCTTTGGGACATGGTACATTATCCTGCTGGAAGTAGCCATTAGCCATGGTGGCCATAGAGGGATGGACATGGTCAGAAACAATGCTCAGGTAGGCCGTGGCATTTAAACGATGCCCAATTGGCACTAAGGGGCCAAAAGTGTGCCAAGAAAACATCCCCCACACCATTACACCACCACCACCAGCCTGCACAGTGGTAACAAGGCATGATGGATCCATATTCTCATTCGGTTTACGCCAAATTCTGACTCCACCATCTGAATGTCTCACCAGAAATCGAGACTCATCAGACCAGGCAACATTTTTCCAGTCTTCAACTGTTCAATTTTGGTGAGCTCTTGCAAATTGTAGCCTCTTTTTCCTATTTGTAGTGGAGTGCAGTGGTACCCGGTGGGGTTTTCTGCAGGTCTTCAGGCATTTTCATCCACATGACTGCTGCATACTGAATGTTTTTTCCTATTTCAAACCATTCTTTGTAAACCCTAGAAATGGTTGGGCATGAAAATCCCAGTAACTGAGCAGATTGTGAGATACTCAGACCGGCCCGTCTGGCACCAACAACTACACTATGCCATGCTCAAAATTGCTTAAATCACCTTTCTTTCCAATTCTGACATTCAGTTTGGAGTTCAGGAGATTGTCTTGACCAGGACCACAAACCTAAATGCATTGAAGCAAATCCCATGTAATTGGTTGATTAGATAATTGCATTAATGAGAAATTGAACAGGTGTTCCTTTAGGTGAGTGTATAACACTAAAGAAATTAAACTTGGACATATTTTAGAGCAATCAAATGTACTGCTTGTATAGCAGTATATTTTTACTGTCCTCTAAAAATAACTCAACATACAGCCATTATTGTCAAAATAGCTGGCAACAAAAGTGAGTACACCCTAAGTGATAATAGCTATATATGTCATTTAACCATGCAAAGCCATCATTTTCACGTTTTTGTCTGATTGACAGGACCATACAAATTTGTGTATCTTGTATTAAAGTAGTTAAAATTTGTGCTTTGAGTACAATTCTTTCATACTGACCACTGGATGTTCAACATTGCACCTCATGGCAAAGAATTCTCTAAGGATTTGAGAATTAGAATTGTTGCTCTCCACAAAGTTGACCTAGGCTATAAGAAGATTGGTAACACCTTGAAACTGAGTTAAAGTACAGACCAGGGTCATACAGAGGTTTTCCAAGATGGGTTCCACTTAGAACAGGCCTTGCAAGGGTCAATCAAAGAAGTTGAGTCCTTGTGCAGTGCGTCAGGTGCAGAATCTGGCTTAAAAAAACAGACACATGAGTCCTGTCAGCATTGCTTTAGAGGTTGCAGAAGCAAAAGTTCAGCTTGTCAATACTACACCATACGCTGCACACTGCAACAAGTCGATTTGCTTCGCCGTCGTCCCAGAAGGAAGCCTCTTCTGAAGCTGGCTCACAAGAAAGGCTAACAGTTTTCTGAGAGCAACCTGTCCAAGAGCATGAATTACTTGAACCATGTCCTGTGGTCTGATTAGACTAAGATCAACTGTTTGGCTCAGATGGTGTCCAGATTGTGTGGTGATGCCCTGGTAAGGAGTACCAAGAAAATTGTGTCTTGCCTACAGTCAAGCATGGTGGTGGTAGCATCATGGTCTGGGGCTGCATGAGCGCTGCTGGTCCTGGTACTGAGCTTCATTGAGGGAAACATAGATTTCAACATGTACTGTGACATTCTGAAGCAGAACATTAAGAAACTGGGCCGAACGGCATGATAATGACCCTAAACACACCATCAAGAGGACAACTGCCTTGGTGAGGACACTGAAGTTGAAAGTGACCAAGTGTTTCTACAGACCTGAAACCTATTGAGCACCTGTGGGGCATCCTCAAGCAGAAAGTGGAGAGGCGCCATGTGTCTAACAACCAGCAGCTCCATGATGTGATTATGGAGGAGTGGAAGAGAATCCCAGCAACAACCAGTGCAGCTCTGGTGAATCCCATGCCCAGGAGAATTAAGGCAGTGCTAACAATGGTGCTCACATAAAATATTGACACTTTGGAGACAGGTTTGACATGTTCACTTAGAGTGTACTCCATTTTTGCCAGCTATTTTTAAAATAATGGCTATTTTTTAAATAATGACAGTAAATATATACTATACAAGCAGCACATTGACTACTCTAAAATCTATCCAAGTCGGGTTCCATACATTTTCTGGAGGGCAGCCACCTCCAGGGCAGTGTTCACCTCATCTTATGGTGCCTAGTCCCGGTGCCCTCAGCAGACCGTCCTGCCAACCCTGACACCCTCGGTGCTTCAGGGCGCAGCGGTATCCAGTGATTCCCAGACCCAAAGTATCTGTTACGATGTGGCATCAGGTTCGCGCCCTCTGAAGAGGGTTGATGTCAGTCAGTTAAAATATTTCCTGCCAGTATGCTTCAGGCCACAGATGTGACGACTGTTTTAACACCAGATGCCAGCCTCAAGAGGCTGGTTCCCTTAGTAGAATATTTATCGGAATGGAAGATTCTGCCAAATATATCTCAGTGGGTCCTGCATATAGTCGAGAAGGGGTACAGAATCCAGTTCGGTTCTCATCCACCACGTTTCAATGGGGTGTTACTCACAGTGGTACACCCAGAGCAGGATCTGGTGATGGAACAAGAAGTGAAAATACTTTTAGCAAAGGACGTTGTAGAGGAGGTTTCTCCGGCCGACAGAGACTCAGGGTTCTACAGCCGATACTTCATTGTTCCGAAAAAGCGTGGGGGGTTGCGTCCCATTTTAGATCTTTGTCATCTCAATCATTCAGTTATGAAGTTGAAGTTCAAGATGCTGACATTGAAACAGATAGTGACCCAAAGCCGATCCAAGGACTGGTTTGTCCCAATAGATCTCAAAGATGCATACTTCCATGTCTCCATTCTTCCTGAGCCCAGGAAATTCCTAAGGTTTGCTTTCTGGGGCAAAGCATACCAGTATCGGGTTCTTCCATTCGGCCTAGCTCTATCACCCCACACATTCACGAAATGCGTAGATGCAGCTCTAGCCCCGCTCAGGCTGCAAAGCAAACGTATTCTGAATTATATCGACGATTGGCTTATCTTAGCAGAGTCGGAGGTATTTCTGGTTCGGTATCGAGATGTCGTTCTTGCACACATGAAAACTTTGGGGTTGAGGTTGAATGCCAAGAAAAGTGTACTTTCTCCAGTTCAGAGAACCACCTTTCTGGGTGTAGTGCGGGACTCAGTCACAATGAGGGCCGTGCTCTTACCTGCTCATGTCGCTTCGATCCTCACAGCCGTAAAAGAGATAAGGCTAGGCCAGTCGCTCCCTGTAAAACAGTTTCAGAGACTGCTAGGTCTGATGGCAACTGCGTCCAACATTATTCCGTTCGGCCTGCTGTACATGAGACCCTTACAGTGGTGGCTTATGACCAAAGGGTTTTCCCAGAGGGGGAACCCACTTTGAATGATTAAGATAACACGGCGTTGTCTCCGTGCCTTGGTTACATGGACGAAACATTGGTTCCTTTCTCAAGGTCCTGTGCTTAGAAGCTCTTTGCCATCGAGTTTTGCTCTCGACAGATGCTTCTCTCACGGGCTGGGGAGCGGTTATGGAAGGGCGCTCAGCTCAAGGTCTCTGGGCGAGTCGTCATCTTTCATGGCACATAAACCGCCTGGAGATGATGGTCGTCTTCAATGCTTTGAGACATTTCTTAGTAGACCTGAGAGGCCATCACGTGCTTGTTCGTACAGACAACACGTCGGTGGTCTCCTATATAAATCATCAGGGGGGTTTGCATTCGCGTCCACTGTACAAACTGGCACACCAGATTCTCTTGTGGTCCCCAAGGAAGTTTCTATCATTGAGAGTAATCTATGTTCCGGGACATCAGAATGTAGGAGCAGACATCCCGTCGAGACAGGGGCTGAGGCCAGGGGAATAGAGGCTCCACACCAAGGCTCCACATTTGAGGGGTTTATGGCCAGGCTCAGGTGGATCTGTTTGCATCTCAGGATACGACACACTGTCCACTGTGGTTTTCCCTCATGCACCCAACCCCGCTGGGGTTGGACACAATGGTACAGACGTGGCCGAGGCAATGGTTGTGCGCTTTTCCCCCGTTTGCTCTGCTTCCGGGAGTTCTGGAGAAGATCCGCCAGGACAGAGTGAGTGTCTTGTTAGCAGCTCCGTTCTGGCCAAGCCGAATTTGGTTCTCGAACCTTATTTCCCTAGACGGTCCTCCCCTGGAACTGCCAGTCAGGAGGGACCTTCTTTCTTAGCTGGGAGGAGAGATTCTCCATCCACGCCCAGAAGCACTCAATCTGTGGGTCTGGCCTTTGAGGGGAATCTGGGTTCTCGACCGAGGTTGTAGAGACCATTTTAAGCTCCAGAGCTCCATCCACGAGGAAACTTTATGCCCTGAAAAGAAGAGTTTTAACCTCTTGGTGTTTTCAAAGCCAGTGGGTTCCAGTTATTTGCACAGTTCAATACTTGAGTTCCTCCAAGACTGTTTCTCGTCAGGGTTGTCCCCTTCTAAAGGTTTATGTTGCGGCTATCGCTGCCTACCATGCTCCCTCTGCGGGTTTATCTATTGGGAAAGATCCTCTTCTTATTTGTTTCCTCTGTGGCACCCTGAGGCTGAGGCCTGCAGTTCATTCCAGAATTCCATCCTGGGATCTGGCTGTTGTTCTAGAAGGTCTATTTGTTGCTCCCTTTGAGCCTCTTGAGTCTGTCTCAGATAAATTTCTGACCCTCAAAACAGTGTTCCTTCTAGCTATTTCCTCTCTAAAATGAGTAGGAGACCTCCATGCCCTGTCTGTGTCTCCTTCATGCCTTGAGTTTGTGCCCGGTATGGCTAAGGCTTTCCTCTATCCCAAACGAGATTATGTTCCTAAGGTTCCAACGAACATACCAAGGCCTATCGTTCTGCTGGCGTCCTGTCCTCCCCCCTTCAAAGATTCAGACCCGGAAAAACTGAACCTCATGTGTCCAGTCAGAGCTCTGGATACCTATGTTCACAGATCTTCACGTTCGAGAGAAATTCTGATCAGTTGTAACAGACAGGTTCTCGGATGTATGCTGTTCAGGCATTGTCGTTCCCACAGCGTCATTAACGCATTGTGAGTTCCCTCGAAAGGAAACGTCTCAGGTTACGACTGTAACCATAGTTCCCTGAGATGGGGAATGAGATGATGCGTCACTTTGCCATACGTTTTTTATCTCTGAGATCGACTGCTTTGGCTTTGGAAGCTGACGCGGGGCGATTCCGGATGTGCTTTTATCCTTTCCTGGTCATGACGTCACCAGCCCATGAAACTCATTACCACCATTACTAGTTGACACAAGTGCTCAGACGCATTCACGCAGGGCCGTTCCCACAGCGTCATTGACGCGTCGTCTCGTTCCCCATCTCAAGGAACTATGGTTATAGTAGTACCTGAGACATTTTCGAACTCCTCTTAGACAATTTGTCCGACTATCACGAAAATCAATCCAGATCATCTTCAGACCATGCTGGCAAAAATGTATCAAACGCTTTTTGATAAACCCAACCATTCTCGAATAACGCATAAACACATTTGACAAAGAGCAAAATTGGACGCCATGCAATATCTCTGCAATGCTGTAGCATATTTAGACCAAACTTGGAACAAGCATAACCTGAGGCCACTTGCAGCATTTTGACACAGCATCCCCAACTGGTCTGGAGATATGTAAAATGACTATTTTTGCTTATAACTTCTGAGGGTTTGGCCATAAAATAGGTCTCGTTGAATACTTTCAAAACCGTTATTCCAATCGAGACGAAACTACCTTAGGAATATCAGAATCATAGCAAGTTGACAACACAGATGGGCCAAATGTAAAAATTTTGATTCCAAGTGGCAAAGAAAAAGATTTCACTAAATAATTTTGTTATTTAATTAATAAATAACAAAGTTTAAATTTTATAAGCTCAAATGCTCGCCTTGCTCTGTACTGCGATGCACGTTCTTGACTCTCTTGTTCGAACTCGTTCATCAAAATGAACAATTTTTTTCCGAGTCAATTCGTTCATTGAATGAACCAAATGACTCGCGAAAAGATTAGTTCATTTTGATGAACGAGTTCGAACAGGAGAGTCACAAACGTGCGTCACAGAACAGAGCAAGGCGAGCATTTGAGCTTATAAAATTTTACATTTTTTATTTATTAATTAAATGAACAATCGTTTCACTTATTCATCAGACCCTTATTCATCGTCTGGAATCATTTAAAGTTCTTTGAACAGTTTGCAGTTTGTACTGAAAGTGTCTTTTGGACCTTGAACTGTTTGGTTCCCACTGAAGTGCATTATATGGAGAAAAATGCTGGAATGTTTTCATCAAAAACCTTAATTTCTTTTTGACTGAAGAAAGAATGACATGGACATCTTGGATGACATGGGGGTGAGTAAATTATCAGCAAAAGTGTTTTTTCAAAAGTGAACAACTCGTTTAAGTTTGAAAATTAATCTGCTATGTCATGTTTAGGACAGCTTGTGTTGTCTTAGTAATGTCAAGTTGTCATGACAAAGACACTGACCAAGTTATGATGTATTGGTTATGTCAAGGTGTCATAAAGACATCTCAAACGATGTCATATTTGCATTAAAAATATAATAACTGAGCGAATGGCATATCATAACATGCATAAAACGTCCTTCATATTCATAACATATGTCATTTCATGATTATGAAGGTGTCATGTCAGTCTTATGCACACCCCTTCAAGTAAAGTGTTACCGAATGCATCAACAACTTTTCAATAGACCAAGCCATTCTCAAATAACACATCAATGAAATTGTAGACATGATGCCAAGCGGATTCAGATTCAGAAACTCTGCAACACTTTGGCATATTGCAACCAAACTTTGTACTGTATGTGTCATTGTCATCTCACTGATCACTCTATAATAATTTGATAACAGCGCCTCCGATTGTTCAAAAGTGATAAGGAAGTTAATCATATTACACTTTGGCACAATGCACATTGCTACCAAACTTTGTATGCGTCATCGTCATCCTACACTGACCACTCTATAATAATTTGACAACAGTGCCTCTGATTGTTCAAAAGTATTAAAGAAGTTAATAATATTACAAATTATTGTATTTGTGATATCTCAGCCATTTTGACTAAAATTTTTTCAATTACTCATTGTTACTGAAGCTCATAGCCATACATGCCTCATTAGTCCGTTTGAGGTTTGGCCCTGATAATTGCAGATTGCAATTATATTTTACCCTGTAGCTGGTTGGTTTGGTTCATGGCTACTTAATCAACACACAGTGTAGATTAAGTATATGCAATAAATATGTGCAATATTCCATGCAAATTAATAAACACAGTTGCAAATGAGTAAAAACACCCATCGGTAATGTTATCTGCAGACACTTGCCATGTGGAGTCCAAAAGTGGCCGAAGGGACGTTAGCTAAGGTGGTTTTTACCACAGTCCTATTTGAAACGTCTGTGCTACTAGCACTTTTCTCACGATAAGACTCTTTAGATAGCTAGATATTCACAAAACTGTGAAAAACAGACTATGGCTTAGTTACAGTCCCAATTGTGGCTTGTAAGAGGAATCCCATAAGTGAGTGAGTGTTAAAGGACAGAATCCTGCAGTTGTTGAAGTGTAAATTGCACCTCTGTCTATTTGCTGACAGCCCCGGCACTTTGTGAGGGGCCCCATGTCAAACCACATCCTCTGTGGCATTCAGTGTCCGCTCAAACAACTGAGACTTTGCCAAGTCTCAGTCACGTCACATATACTGTATCAGACCAACATGACACATAGACAGAACGTCTGGTCCTTCATGTCCTCTAAAGGTGCATTTACATGGACGGCAATTAACTAGAGCACACATATACTTGTCTCAACTTTGCTGTATTGCTAATGAGTTGTTTTAAACGACAAAAATATGGTATTTTAATTGAAAATGAATGAGTTCTAATCTGTTGCTGCTAATCACTATCAGCGTGAACATCCCTTAATGCAGCCTCCTAAATTAAATCTCATAAGCGAGACTTCATTTCAATAGTTTGCCATTGACATGTTGCTAAGCTAACATCGTTAATGTGCATAGATGTACGTAGAAGTCAAAAATGTATTTTTTCTTTAAACAAATTCAACTGTCAAAACTAACTGACGAAAATGAATTCATCTCTATTTACACCGAAATTAATCATCATTCATTAAATATAAGTGATTTAGTAGCTCATTAGGTTTTGGAACTGAGCAAATATGAAGAGTTCAGATGCAAAAGCCTCTAAATGCCATTTGAAATTTTCTTCTTTAATGGTGATTTTTTATCAAACTTGTATATTTAAGTTCAGTAATTTCACTTAAATAACAATTAATAGGTAATTATCATTGCCATTTAAGTGAAATTACTAAACTTAAATATACAAGTTTGATAAAAAAATCATCATTAAAGAAGAAAATTTCAAATGGCATTTAGAGGCTTTTGCATCAGAACTCTTCATATGTTCGTCCAGGATTGAAAATCAATCAGTTGGACCCTCTCCACATCAGATATATCTGAAAATTATGAATGGAAACACTTTTTATTTTCCTACTGTATCTGCATGTGAATGTGGCTTGTAGAAGAACAAGACCTTCCACTTCCATGCAAAGTCTTTTAATAAATTGTGAGAGTTGACAAATAACAATTTTGTGGTTTACCAATTTCTTGTGTCACGAGATAGCATGTCCTTCTTCTTGGCTTGTGAATTCTCAGAAACTGTATAGTAACAGTTTCATATTCCCTTACCACACAAGATCACACCAACCCATCACATTTAAAAATAAATAATAAATAAATAAATAGGCAGAGAAAAGTAGGTTTATCTTAAGCTGAAAGTGCTGCCAAGTTGTATTATATTAAATATATTTAGCATTTTAATAAAAATAAATAAATAAATCAATCATTTTCTTTACATAAATACAAAAACACTTCACATTTACGCTAATTTAAAATATAATTTATACAGTAGAAATAGTAAAAAGCTAAATACCTTAAGGCTTAGGGTAAGGTGAAACCTGAAGAAAAAGGTCCATATATCTGCTGTGAGAAGATAGGCCTGTTTGAAGAAAGTTCACAACATCAAAAACTGAAGTTCACTGATAACAATGATGATTTTTATCAAACTTGTATATTTAAGTTCAGTAATTTCACTTAAATAACACTTAATAGGTAATCATCATTGCCATTTAAGTGAAATCACTGAACTTAAATACACAAGCTTGATAAAAATGATCATTCTAGAAGAAAAATTCAAATGGCACTTAGAGGCAATCTGAACTCTTCAATTGTTAACTAGGCTATTACTATTGGATCTGTTATCAATGCATGTGCGGATGGCACTCACTATTTTCTCTTTTTTGGACAATACTTTGTAAACCCTAGATAAGGTCGTGCATGGAAATCCCAGTAGATCACCAATTTCTGAAATACTCAGAAATACAACCATGCCGAGTCACTTAAATCACTCTTCTTCCCCATTCTAATGCACAGTTTTAACCTCAGCAGATCGTCTCAACCATCTACACGTATTGCCATGTAATTGGATGATTAGATATTTGTATTAACAAGCAGCTGAACAGGTAAACAAGTAATAAAGTGGCTGGAGAATGTGCATCCATCCATACAGACATACACAAACAATTATTTTTTGCTGATACATTTCATTGCAATCAAAAATTCAACCAACCAAACCAAAATGATATGTGCATCATCTTTTCTCTGAAGCATTTCAGTGGTGCTCCGGCCCCACCCATTACACGACCTGCTTTCCTAAACTCTCTTTCAACATCTGCACTCTTTGTCCCTCAATCCAGAACTGCTGCATGGATACAGGACACACCCTAAAACACTCTCTCTCTCTCCCTCCACAACCCAAAGAGTTTTACTGACAGAATGCAGAGAGCCCTGCAGTGTTTCTCCATCCTCTCTGACATCCATACATGCCCTAACTGCAAAATGACTATGACCCCACCCTTCTCACAGCCTGTAAACCCTTGAGTGCAAGCATGTTAAAACCGTCTGATTTCATTCCCACAGTAGTCAACGAGAACAGAAAAGATAGATCAGCAGATCTTCAATGGTAACACAGTAACAGACTTTTTAGATAAAAAAAAACAAACAAATCTTACAAGTTCCAATCTGATAGGCTGAAGTGATACAGTAATCCTTTTGACCAATTTTGACAAAGTCTAGACGCATTATTCTCTATTTCTGTTGTTTTCGAACCGTTTGCACAATTAATATGTTTCTGTGGTAGTCAATTACTGTGACATACTAAATTTCAGATACACCTTGCTTCGGATGATCTTGTAAATAAGCCGCACTTATGACCAGACTTTTTGCATAACGCCACAGCTTAAAGGAACATTACGACTTTTTTTTGTCTTTGGCTTATTCACCATATCCCCCAGAGTTAGAGAAGTCCATACATACCTTTTTCATCTCCATGCGTGCTGTAACTCTGTTTGACGCACCCACCACTAGCCTAGCTTAGCACAAAGACTGGATGTAAATGGCTACAACTAGCATACTAATCTTAATAAGTGACAAAATAACGCAAAATTTTTACTATTTACATGTTGTGATTTGTTTAGTCAAAGAGAGTACAAATCAAAAGGTAATATGAGACAGCCATCTTTTAACCATTTAAAGATTAGGAACTATATTCTCAGAAGGCAGCACTGCTACTTGGGCGGAGTGATAGCCGCAGCACCTGAGACGCACCGTAGCAGTGCTTCGCCTTCTGAGAATATAGTTCCCAATGTCTCATATTTCCTTGTTATTTTTACACTCTGTGACTATACAAATCACAACATGTAAATAGGAAAATGTTTGCGTTTTTTTGCCTCTTATTGGGATTATGCTAGCTGTAGCCATTTAAATACAGTCTTTATGCTAAGCTAGGCTAGCGGTGGGTGCGTCAGCCAGCGTGAGAGTTACAGCACGCACGGAAATGAAACAGTTATGTATGGACTTATCTAACTCTTATCTAACTCTAAAGTTCAAAAAAGTCGGAGTGTTCCTTTAATTGCGTATCACCAGATGTGTGCTGATTATTAGCATACACCTTAGCAACACTGCATTTGAAACAAGTAAACATTTCATAATAAAAATGAAAGCATTTTATTTCCTCTTAAGATCATGTCGTCATCACATCTGACACAGATTACGATCTATCACAGTTTTTGAAAGCTAGTTTTCAATCAAAGAAAAAGAACAAAAACAGAAAATTATAACACCTATGAAACAAAAGACTTAAATCAAGAACTATAAAAAATATATAAAACTTGAACAGATCTATCAATTAATCTCCATTTTTTTCATCTCCAAGTACCATTTCAAAACATAATTTAAACTTTTCCTTTACACAAAATCGAACGGACAAATGAATTTGAAACATTTGTTTTCTTTTACATAGAAGAAATGTAATCATTTGCCATGCAGTGGATGTAACATTAAATATTAATTCAAACAAAAATAATATATTTCTCTCTTTTTATATAATTGTGTGTATTTAGATCATATAGATAATATATAGATATATTTATATTCAAGTCAAAACACACCCTTCCTTTATAGGGAAACAAGCTAAATTAAAACATTTACCACAAATATAATCTAACAATGCTTTCATAGCTGCCATCAGTAGCATGGCTGTCTTATTTAAAAACAAGGGATTTCAGCAAAACCATTTTGGCACAGAAAACCACACACAACGCCAGTAGCATCTGCTTTGTAAAAAGACAAGGAAAGATTAGATAAGCTGATTTTTTTCTGTTTCATAAAAAAAAAAAAAAAGGAAAAACATTCTGTGCATCGCTTTAGTCCAGGAAAGAGAGTGTATGTGCATCTCCTGAGCATTTGCTTGAGGCCAGTGGTGTATGTCCCAGAGTTTGTTGCTACTGCAGCATGCTTTTAATGGTCTTAGTGGTTGACTCGTCATTAAGATGTTTTGTTGTGTACCTGCAGAGAAGACATTCATTATTAATTTTATTTGCTTCAGTATTTTGCCAGGTCAAGTCATCTCCAGCACTGTTGCCAAACAAGGATTATTGTTCAGCAGAGCATAATCATGATCCAATATGCATAAAGTGCACATCTCATGACACTCTCTATGTGGAATATTCCTCACATTAAGCCACCAAAGAAAATATGAACAAAAAAAAAAATTAAATGTGTCTTCACGGTTTTTATAACAAGTGCAGTTGTGTGATGGACACTGACTACATATGATGCTGAGAGTGACACAATAACAACTACTATTTATCATAATATGTAAATGACAATCTAAATAAATTATGATATGACTCATTTTAAAGGGCTATATGTAAGAATTTGTATGTAATAATCAGAGCATATCCACATCACTATGATCAGATGCTTCTTAACTGCGGTTTTTTAATTGCTGTCATTTTTGTTGCGTTTATTTTGTTATTGAGAGTTATGACAGCACATATTACACAATCATTTAAATGTTGCTCTCAGCGGCATGGACGGCATCTGGATGTTTGTTAAAAGTATATAGCTGTGAAGATATTTTCCAACCTTTTTACTTTTAAGTGAAGAACAAAAAAGATCTTTGTCGTGAGTATGTGAGGACGTTGCATATGCAGCAGTCGCTGGCTAGTTCACATACAGGCAACCGGTGTCACTAATAACAAGGGTTTCTGAATTATCCGTTTAATTTTAATAAATTTAATTTGAATTCATAAATGACTATTTAAATTATAACAATTTTAAATTTATATCATTTCATTTATTGATAAAAAAAAAACGAATTTAAATTGTGATGAATAAGATAAATTAGTAGTATAAAAACATAAATTTAAATTATAATCATATTTTTTTGTATTTTAAACTGATTTAATTTGAATTCATAAATCACTATTTAAATGTATAATATTTTTTTGTTTATTTGAACTTAAATTTATATCATTTCTTTTATTGGTTAAAAAAATAATTTAAATTGTGATGAATAAGACTAGTTTTAATAGCTTTCATTATTAGTACAAAAACATCTATTTAAATTTTAATCATCTTTTTTTGTACTTCAAATTGATTTAATTTGAATTTATAAATCACTATTTAAATTATAAAAAAATATATTTATTTGAACTTAAATTTATATAATTTCATTTATTGGTTTAAAAATAACTAATTTAATTGTGATAAATAAGACTTGTTTTAATAGCATTCATTATTAGTATAATTATAATTTTTTGTATTTTTAATTTTTTCACATAAAAATGAATTTTTAAAATAATTTATAAAGCAATATAGCTCGTTGTAAACAGGAATGAGAACCTGAAATGGTGAGATTAACTGAATGAGCCACTGAATGTTGTCTTGTTGAACACAGTTACCTGAGAGCATTTAGAAGACCTTCCACACTGTTTGGTGGCTGATCTCGGAGCACTTTAATGCAGCCTTTCATCTGTTTGAGGGGGAAAAGCCATGGTTAGAGTGGCACGGTAATGACAGCACTGAACCTCATGAGTCACGACGCTGCGAGAGAGCCATCACCACGTTTTCTAAGCACTATGATTATGAGTCAGTCCTAGTGCCTAGAGGGAGGGGGAAACAGTTAGGAGATGGGTTTGCAAGTAACGGGAGATGATGGTGTCACTCACGTCTATTCTGGACGACTTTGCAAATGCGCCGACGGGATGGACGTAGTCGTAAAGTATGATGACCCCAACCATGACACGCAGACAGAAGGAAACGGTTTCATCACTGCTGAAGCGGCTGCGATACTCTCTACATCAAAACAAAATCAGAGAATAAGCCAATTATTTACCTCCCAATTTCTAGTGGATGGATTCTACTTCATTTTTTAATGGAACGCATCGGACAGATGAGAAAATGGCAGACTTACGGGGTTTCCAACATAACTTTGCACACGCTTGCCATGGTGCTGAATACATCTGTGGTGTTTTCAATGGGCAAGTATTTATTCTGTTGGGCAAAAGACAAAGAATTGGTTATTCTTTACAAGCTCTTTTTTGAAAATATCACTGAGAATTGAATTTAAACATTTTTGTTACCTCAGAAACAAATTTTGTTGTGCCATCACTTAATGTCTTCAGCATGGGCGTGGCATCAGCATAAAAAAGAGATATCCGATTGGC